TTTAAAAAACAATACTGAGACTCGTGATCATTTGGAAAATATGTGTTCCCCGTCAAAAATATTCCAGTGTAAATCCTCGAGGAAAATTAGAGTACAAAATCCTCGTGGATTCTGTGGGAATTATTAAAAAAGAAACGAAAAATTAAAGTACAAAATCCTCGTTGAAATCCTCAAGGAATTCCGTTCAAATTTGACACGAGGAAATCCTCGAGGATTTCTACGGGGATATTTTTGATGTTGTTATTATTATTATTAGTATTACTTAAAATTATACTTTACCATTAAATTTATTATTTTCCCTAATTTACAGAAAACACATATATTACGAGAAATAGCCGCATCGAATAATGTACGCGAAGCGATCAAATCTTTGATGCCAAGTCTAATTAAAAAAGACGTACAAAAAAATTATTCCAACAAAGGAAAGAAAATAAAAGGATTGGGAAAATTAGACTTCTCAAAAACATGTAAATATTTATGTATAAAGGGTATTTATAAGATAAAGTTTTTCTTCGTGATTACAATAAACATTTTCTGGCTATTATGTAATACTCATCATTTTATTAATATTTTGCAGATACGATTAATTAAAAAGTAAAAGACATTAAAGAAAGTGATATAACTTCTACCATTGGCATTTGATTACCACAATCGGTGGATAGAGAGGGAGGACGAAAAGAACGTCAATTGAGAGAAAAGGTATCAGAAACTGGAAATGCAACGAATATTTAATAAAAAATGCTGTTTATTACTACTTTTTTTAAAAAGAAATTTTTCAACTTTTATTTAACATCTCTGAAATAAAAGAAATTAATGATAAAAATATTACAAATTAATGTTCAATAATATTTGTATTAAAAATTATTATAACATGTATATCTTAATTATTTTTATTACTATTACTATTTTCATTATAATTGTTATTATTATTATTATTATTTTGTAATAATTTAATAAATTTCTAAATAAAGTTTATAAGTTGTAACATTTTTTAAGAAAATAAAATTGTAACGTTTTTATGTTGTAAAAAATTTATTTAAATGTTTAATCAACACACGTTCTTAAATATCAAAAAAATATTTTAGTTTCATCTTGTAGTGAAGATGAAGAAACAAGAAATGAACCCAGTCACTCAAATATACAATTTGAGACTCAGAATAGTAATTTAATTATTTTTTTGCAACACTAACCTCTATAGTAAAATTTTACACACCGAAAAGTGTGTGTAAAGAAGCGATTTTTAAAACAGTGTGTAAAGCGAAATTTACGCACTGCAATTTACTTTACGCACCAAAATTTTTCTCACATAATGTAAGGATTGTTTTAGACCATATAAAACCACAAATTTAAAAAAAGAACTTTACCTTTAAATTTATACACTTATTATTATAATGTAAGAGTTTAATAAATTTCTAAATAAAGTTTATTAGTTGTAACATTTTTAAAGAAAAAAAAATTATAACGTTACTATGTATTACAAAAATTTGTTTAAATGTTTAATCAACACACGTTCTTAAATATATAATAAAATTTATATTTAAAATAAATTAAGACAAATTTACAATTGCACAATTTCTACATATATATTGTATTTTATTAAGTTATGTATTAGATTTTATTAAATTATTTTATTTAATATATTTTTTTTATTATTAAAAAGAAGTATTTTTGCTTTTTTATGAGGAAGCTTTGCATTCGTGACGTTTTTCGATTTTTTAAAATTGGGTTATATGGACTTATTTTCATGTAGAAATAATATATATGAACTCCTTGGCAAATTGTCCAGATGTATGTTTGTGTGTATGTGTTTGTGTATGTCACAAAATATTGTGTACAAATTATCTCAGAAACGTTTTAACGGATTGTCTTGTAATTTTGTATGCGTATTGTAATCATTAATATCTAAAATCTGACACAAGGATTTATTGACATTATTCTTCTCTTTGCTGACGATTTAAAACTTTATAAAATAATACGTTCTGAGGATGATTCACATCTTCTTCAGAGTGATTTAAATGGACTCACTGAATGGTGTAGAATCAATCACTTGGATCTTAATGTCAATAAATGTTGTATCATTTCGTTTAGTAAATCTAATACCATTCTATGATACACGGAGAGAAATCTGCTGCGATTTTTGCTTGTGTAGTCTTTATTAATTTCATAAGTCATTTTTCGATACAATTTTAGCTTAAGACTGGAATAATTTAAATATGAATTCATGTATTTAATGTAATGGAGTGTATCAAACAAAAAACACAAGTCACGGGTGTTAATTTTGTATGAATTTCACATAAAAACTGCAAAGGGGACATGCCATAAAAGTATTAGATCCTCTCTTATAAAATTTGCAAGAATGCCATCTGATTTTCAGGTGGAATTTATACAACACAATCTTACCTCCGTATACACACAGCATTTCACACACACAATCATTGTATGCTGGTGATTCCGAGGAACGGAACGCACAATGCGCACGCTCGTGTTTTACTATGCGTTTTTAACCGCGAAATTTAAAATAATTTTATTTAAAAATTTTTTTAAAATATTTGTTGTCAATAAGTGATTGTTTATTAAACAGTAAAATAGAATATTTTAAATACTGAAATTTTTAAATATTTATTAGCTAAAATGTTATTTGTTCTTTTAAAAACAGAATCTATTAAAAATAAAAAACAATTAAAAAATTTAATATTAATTACATTTGTATAAATTTATAATTATATTTATTCATTGTATTTATATATTTGTTATTATATTATGGGTATAAGTATTATTTTTATATTAAATATTAAAATATAATCACCAATATAGTATTAATATTATATATTTACATATTTATTACATTAATTAATAATTTTAATTTAATTAATTAATATATGAAATTAATTAAATATTAATAAAATATTATATATATTCAGAAAATTATCTATGGATAAATTAAATTTTATTTTATTTAATAAATAAATCGAGAATAAAGTCGAATTATTTATAATGTATGCATTATAAATAATTCGATTTTATTTATTATTTTTCTATTTTACTTTTTAATAAACAACCACTTATTGGCAACAAATATTTTTAAAAAAATTTTAAATAAAATTATTTTAAATTTCGCGGTTAAAAACGCATAGTAAAACACGAGCGTGCGCATTGTGCGTTCCGTTCCTCGGAATCACCAGCATACAATGATTGTGTGTGTGTGAAATGCTGTGTGTATACGGAGGTAAGATTGTGTTGTATAAATTCCACCTGAAAATCAGATGGCATTCTTGCAAATTTTATAAGAGAGGATCTAATACTTTTATGGCATGTCCCCTTTGCAGTTTTTATGTGAAATTCATACAAAATTAACACCCGTGACTTGTGTTTTTTGCTTAGAAACTATTTTTACAATAAATACTTGAATTTATGCTAAAAATGCAAGTGTCGTGCCATGTAATTAAAGTAATTTACTCATCCAAGCAAAAATCGCAGCAGATTTCTCTCCGTGTATTCATACTTTGTTGGCAATGGGGAGCTTAATAGAGTAAACCAGGTGCGGGATCTTTGGATAACACTTGATGACTCGTTATCTTTTAGTTATAACATTTCCAATATCGTTAACTGTGCTCTCAAGTCACTAGGATTTGTTATTAGAAATGCTTTAGCATTCCATAACCCACGAACTCTGAAATCGCTTTACTTTTCATTTGTTAGATCACAAATTGAACACTGTTCTGTGTCATGGAGACCATATTATGCTTATTATCTTGTTAGAATCGAACGAGTTCAAAATCGTTTCCTTCGGTTCTTTGCTAGACAAACAAATGTTCGTTTTGATAGATTTTCACATGAATATGACAGTTTACGTTCATTGGCGAACATACCCAGACTTACATCTAGATTTGACTATTTTGATTTACTTTTCTTTTTTAAAATTTTAAAGGGATACATTGATTGTCCCCTCTTACTGTCACTAATTAAATTTTCTATTCCAAAACGTCATTCCAGACATTATGTACTGTTTTTTAATTTAATATGTTTAATTTCGATTTTGCATTTCCTGAAGCAGTTTTTGTTAATTCTTCAATTTTTCTTAAATTTTTCTTTTTCTTAAGTTCTTTCGAATAATTTATTTCGAATTTATTTACGTTTTGTTGACGTTAAAAATAACGATTAATTTTATAAATTTAGGTAAAATATATAGATCAATCAATTGTTTTCTATGTAAGGAATGCAATTTAGCGTAAAATTTTAAAAAAAAATTTATTAAGAAAGAAGAAAAAATTTGTTTAACAAAAATAAAAAATTTAAATTTTTTGAAAAAGTAAAAATTATGATTTCATCTATAAATTTAGGTAAAATATGAACTTCATATAAGTTAGAAAATTCGTTTGAATGCAAAGAATACGTTTTTAAAATAAATAAAGTGAAATTTTTATAATAAACATCTTTTTTTATAAAAAAATGTATTTTTAACTTTTTAAGAAAATCGTTCCAAAAAAAAGTTTTGTGGATATTATTGGAAATCCTTGTGTACGATTTTTGGTATTAGAAAGTAGAATTACCATTCAAAATTTCAGGGCGGTCCGTCTACATTTGCTTGAGATCCTTTGTACACAAGAAGCGGTGCCATACATACACATCCACTCAAACACATACATCCGGACATTTGTTTCTCATGTCGAAATATAATTATATTAGATAAAAATTTATTAAAATAATTGATTTTAGGAAGTTCGAAAATTGTCTATAAAGCTTCCTAGTAGGAAACAAAATGAAAACTTTCAGCATTTTTTGCAATTTTAATGACTTTAAACTCACCAATCGACAATGTTGACATTAAATTCATAATCACCGACCAAAAATACAACTAGAATGATTATGTAGAAAATTTTAAAGCACATTATATTTGCACAGGAGATTGAACAGACAAAAAAATTCCTTGAACTTTATTATTATTAATTAAAATATACATTTTTTGACTATATTAATTATTAATAATTACGAAATTATAGCATTTCTTTGGATCCGACTATTCGTCACACGTATTGGTCTTTAATTATTGGTGGATTTTTTACCTTCTTATCGCTTTATGGTGTTAATCAAGTTCAAGTGCAGAGGTTGTTGTCAGTTCGGTGAGTTACTAAATTGTTTACGTTTACATTTGAATTTTGCATAAATTTTTTGTTTACAATTGATTTATTTTCAGAAAAATTAAGTCGGCAAGATTAGCACTGTGGTTGAATTTGCCAATTTTAATGTGTCTTTCGATATTAACCTGTTTTTCTGGACTCGCAATATACACCAAGTACAGGAACTGCGATCCTGTAAAAGAAGGCAGAATAAAACTTCCTGATATGCTAATGCCACTATATGTAATGGATACTTTATCACACTTACCTGGACTTCCAGGACTTTTTATAGCTGGTATTTATTTTTGTTATAAAGTTTTCAGTTTTGTATCCCAAGTATAATAGCACTTAAGTAAATTAATGGTAGTTTTTTGTTAAAATCGTTTTTGTATAATATTTATAAAATGAAAAGACCTGGAACGATTGTTTATATAATAAACTATTTGTCTCGACATCTAGTAGGTAGACCGGCGTGGTACCGGGCCGGTCATGGATGATAACCCGGCAACTATCTGCGACGGTTTAGGTAAACCACTTGCCTGGTTCTTATTTTTAGTGATTTAATACCGGTTTACTGCCGGCAAACCACCAGCAGGCTACCGGGCCAGTAGAATTTTCGATACTGACATAGTTTCCGGCTTGGTACCGGGCCGGTCATGGATGATAACTCAATAGAGCGCGACTCACTATATTACTTCACTATTTACTCTCTTATTATATTATAAATTACCAAACAAAGGTTTTAATAACTGTTCAACATGTTTTTAATTGCATATTGCAAAGTACATTTATTTATAAAATTGTTAAATAATAAAAATAAGTATTATTGCTATAATAATCTTAGAATTCTTTCATTCTTTTATTCGTTCATTCTGTCCGGGCTCGATCAGCTGTGAAGGATAGTTTTATATGACTCTTCTTAGATAGAAAGAAAAAATGCGTTACAGTTCGACAGTAAGAATTTGCTATTGGTTTAGGGAGGAGCCAAGGTACGTTTCATGTTGTTTTGGGCGATCATTGATTGCGTCCTTATTTGGAAGATGTATACCCTTACTCAACCGGACAGACCATAAAGTCGGAGCTCGAGGGACGCATGCACCGAGAGGGGCCTGAGCGGCGTTCTTAGGCCTAATGACATTTTCTATTTATGGCCCTTAATGAGTTTTTCATGAAAATTACAAAATTTTTAAATATTGTCATTTTTAATTCCAACAACATGCTCGTAATCGTGAAATTTCGAGGAATAAGAATCGATGGAGCTATTAGATTCAAAATTTCTACTGTACATAGAAAATAAACACAAAAGACCTTATACTTTAAAATATAAAGAAAGAGAAAAAGGCTAGGTTTCAGGAAACAATAGAACAAAAAATAGAAAGACAAGAAAAAGATAGGCAGAGAAAACGTAATCGACAAGAAACAGAAATAGAAAAGAAAGTGCATCAAAACATAAATTTGCTATGTAAAAAAAATTATTAGAAACAGAAGTTGAAAAAAGCAGCGTCTAGGAAACGATGTAAAGTGAAAATATGATAAAATTATAACAGAAAGTGGAAAAAAAGAGCGCCAACGAAGGAATTTAGAAAGTAAGAATAAAAAATTGGATTTAGAAACAGAGATCGAAAAAAGCAGCGTCTAAAACATGATTTAAAGCGTAAAAATTTTGACAGAAACACAGGTTGAAAAAAAGGGCGCCAACAAAGGAATGTAGTATGTAAGAATATTAAATTTTTATTGGAAACGGAGGTCAATAAAAAAGAGCGTGAAGAAAAAGATTTAACCAATAAATAAATAAGAAGAATACTAAACAGTTAGAAACATTAGGAACTGCAATTATATTTTTAGATGAATTTAATGAAAAAAATATTTCTAAAAATTATTTGGGTGAAAGGTCTTCAGATAATAATTTTAATAGCTGTTGTCACAAAGGAAAAGTAAAGTTAAATGACTTAAATCCTTATCCTGAGTTTTAACCAATTTATTATGTGACTTTACCTTTGTGGGTAAAAATTACAGAGAAAATATTCGTTCGTATAACAGTTCATTTGCTTTTGCTAGCATGGGAGGTAAATTAGAAGTTCCAAACAGAAAAGGTCCGAATATTTTCTACATTCATGGACAAGTATATCATTGTAATACTGTCTTTATCCAAATGATGACGATAGTCGTAAATATGTTCAATTTTATATAATTGATTCAAATGCAGCTGTAAAAGAAAGATTAAATAACGAATATAATAATAAATGTTTGATGAAATTATTATCGGAAATTGATATTTCATTTAGAGAGATATATATGCTAAAGCATTTAAAATGATTCGAGATTTTGAGATTAAAGAAGAAGAACAAGCTAAATCATCAAATAATTCTGTAAGAAATATTGAAATGTGGATTAAACGCGACAGGTTATAAGATCAAAACAAGTTTAATTTTCCATCTTGTAATAAAGTAGCAATTGTATTTGTTAGCGAAGATGGTGAATCTACTATTAAACGCTATATATATTGTATATCCATCTTAAAGATTCCAAAAGTATTCCAATTTCCAGCCTCAGTGCGAATGTTGACCCTATGACTTATCCTTTAATGTTTCCTTTAGATGATCAGGGATGGACTGTAAACATAAAACAAACTCAAGGCATTCGCAATATTACTACCTTACAATATTACACGTTTCGTCTGTCATATAGAGGAGCATTTAATCCATGTTTAGCATTAGGGAAATTAACTCAGCAATATGAGTTGATGTCTGGTCAAAAGTAGAGGGCGAGCGTTTTTAATATATTAAAATATATTAAATTTAAAAAAATATATATTACTGGAAAAATTAAGCAAAATTGGAATTTTTCCATCGGCCATCACACTTTCAACGCCACAAATTTTAGATTTAGGGGTACGGAACCCTTGGTTTTAATACGAGTGTAACTCGAACTTGTCCGATTTTTTTACTCTAATATACATAAATGTTAATCTTACCCCAATACCAATGAGTATGTTTGATCTTGCTCCAAAGATCGACGTTACTAATATCATTACATCACAAGGTAAAATGTCTAACAAATTAAGAAGTTGCTATGACTCGTATAAAATCAAGCTGCTCAATAAGAAAGCAGCAGCTCGCTTTCATACATTTACTACAGATCCGAATACACTGCTCTTATTTCTCATTCATAAAATATGCGCGCTGTAGCGTGCATATTTTGCTAGTTTATTATAAATTATAATTACGTGTATGTAAATCTTATACTGCATCCTTTTTATTGAAGAATTTTAATTACTTATTCTAATAATAATATTAATGTAATTAAATTATTATTTTTAATTGTTGTTAGTATCACTAAAGATCTGTAAAAATAAAAAATATATTTTAATTAAATTAATATTACTTTTATTAGAATAAGTTTTATAACATTTGTCTTAAGATAATAATTGTAAAATGTTAAGTTCTTTATGACTTACAAGAATTCCTAATTAACATTTGAAAATTACATTTATAAAAAATATTACCATAGAGTATAGTTCAAGGTTCAGAAAGTCCTGTAAATTCTTTGTTGATAAAGGAGGTAGATTATCTCTTAATTCTATAGATGCCTGTATTTCACTTTAACTAGAATAAAAATGTTTTCTATTCATATAACGATAATTGATTATATAAAAAATGATATTGAGATTATATTTTAGAAATAATGCCTAACACTTTTTCGCACGAGCAAGCCCTTGACAAGTCATCTTAATAGTCTCCAAAAGAATTGATATTTCTGAGTCTGAATTTGAAGTTTGCTTCTGTAAAACAGTTTTCTTTCCTCTTATTGCAGACGATTTAAACTTTTGAGTATCACTAGTTAGATCACCCTCGCTAGATAACTTGTCAACATCACTGTCAGTAAATAATCCTAAATGGGAATAAAATTTTAAGAGTCTCGATATGTTCAAAAAACGAGATATTTTACACGTCTCATTTTTAATAAAAAACCAAGAAAATAAACGTTATTATTCTTAAATTAATTAAAAATTGAAGATTCCATGTAAATTACTTATTTTATTAGACATTATGTAGCTACGTAGCGATTTAAAGCTACATTCACTTAAAAAAAATTTTAGTTACCGAGTGATTCAAAAAATGTATTAGTTTCAAAGATTTAGGTTAGCACAATTGTTTCGCTGGTAAAATTCAAAGATAGAAATTATGTTATGAGTACTTTTTGAAGCTGAAAGTATGAAGTTAAAAATTATGGATTTAGGTTAAATTTATTCGAATAATCAAAATGTTTAATCAAATAATTTTTTGTAAATTATTTTATTGCAAAGTAACAGTTAGCGAACATAAAGTTAGAGAATTGTTTTTAACTTCGTGTCGTATTAGTTTGCTTACATAGATAAAATCTTTTAGGAAATTGACATGAATTCTATGACAAAGGTCTTATCTAGTGGGGTTATGTTTATATATTCCTCGCTCTGTAGAATTTTTACTTTTTTCCTTTACGTATTGTAGTTTATTCATACGCATATTTATTTTTTGTTTTAAATTATTATTTCATTATAAATTATAATAATTCAATTTTTTTAATTTTCAAAATACTTTTTAAAAAAAATTTAATTTAATGTACTAAAACAAATTGATTATGTCTGTTGACTTAGATACTGATTTTATTCTACAATATTTATTGTAAATTGTTTCTCTTTTTTCAATTGCTACCAAATGCTATGTAAGGAAAACTGGTGAGGGCCTTACCAATTTTTCTAACGAATACTCTACTTTTTAATATTATATAGTATTCAAATTTGTAAATCTAAAAATATATTTTTAATTAAATATAATAAATAGATAATTATTTAATTAAATATATAATAAATATCTTCGTATTTATCAAAGCCAAAACGAATGTTAAATCGTTTTAGCGATCTCCGTAATCAATCATTTAAAAATCTAAACGCGTTAGATCTTCGGAAATGTTCATTGATTGAGTGCATTTGTGTAAGATTGGGAGTGACATGAGATGCTTTATTCTTTGTTTTTTAGAAAAATTGTCAAGAATTAAAAATTTTAAATTCAAATTTTATAAACATTTTTAAAAAAATGTTATGATGTTGCTGTTAATGAAACATTATAATACAATGTAATGAATATAAACATGAAACATCAATTTGAAAAACAAGATTTATTGATTCATTATATCAAAAAAGTAAAGGTATATCAAATTTTAAATTATTATTGTTAAATAATAATTAAATTCTTAAATCATAACAAGTGTTATTTGTAACGAGCTTGTTCAGCTGCATGTGTTGCAATGGTCGCCTCGTCCGAGGGACCGAAAGCTGCTCTATCTTAGTGTTGTGAGATGGGCAACTGCGCTGGCAGGGGCAGGAACTGGCCTGGTTTAGACAGGGGTGAGCGGGTCGACCCGCAGTCTAAGGCTGAGAACTAGGAGTAGAGGCACTTGAAAATTGTGAAGATTGACGGCTTATGCTTGTTCAGCCTCATGATAAGATAACCCGTCCGGAACATCTGTCATCCCCCTCAATTTTGATGGAGTCTCTTAGAAATTACTCTAGCAGGAGTAACAACGTAATGGTGGTAATTTGGCCGTCGACGAAACCTTATCAAAGGATCGTGACTCGCTGGTAGATAATAGAAATGGGATCGATCTGTAATTAGAATGGTACGTGTTCTGAATGTTACTGATGAAGTCTTCTGCATCCGTTCCTTATTCAGGAAGTAAGACTATAAATGTTCGCGGTAATATTGTTTGACATTAAAGAAAAGAAGATATACACCCTGAAAAAAGTAATCTCATATTTAGAGGAAAAAGCCTCTTCTAATATCCTCTAAATTTTTTCTCTTAACACAAAAGTATTCCACTTGAATGTTGAATATTTTTATTCTTTGGTGACTAATAATAAAACAAAACAATTTTTTTTGAGGTTCTGATGTCAAAAACATTGAATTAAAGTTAAATAAATAATCAAATCTATTAATTAATGTAAGTAATTAACTATAAATCATTAATTATATTTAATATTTAATTAAAGATGTTTAATTTAGTGCATGATAATAGCTTTTCTTTATCAGTTTATAACCATAATTGTCAAATTATATGCGAGAGGAAAATTCTCTCAAGTGAAGACTATTACTTTTGATACAATATATAAGAGGAAAATATGCATCAAATTAAGAGAAATTCGCTAGAATCAAGATTACTTTTTTTAGGGTGTAGTAAGCAGAAGTCTCAATTGTTGGTAACTATCTGGCATGGAACTATCCGGCTCCTGATGTCCAATCGTCGCAGGTGAGTAGGTGAGTAGGTTTACCTCAAATGTATACTTTATAAATATCGATCGATTCGTCTTGACGTCAGGAATACGATTTTATTATATATAACCTTAAATTTTTCTATTTAAAAATTTTTTCGATGAAAAAAGAATTTTTGGAAAAAAGACGATAAATTTTTTTTGGGGTATTTTTTAAAATCCTTTGGTCAGATTTGAGATATTAATATGATAAATGAGCCTACCAAATTTTATTTAAATCCATTAAAACCTGTTAAAGTTATCTTCTAAACAAAAAAGGGATCCACACACACATACACACATACATCCGGACAATTGATCAGGATCTCATATAACATGTTTCTATATAGAAAAAAATTTGCTTCCGACACTTTGAAAAGTTTTATAAACGAAAGGACTACAAAGCTTCCTCCACGAGGAAGCAAAATTTGATGAATATTATTGAAGAGCCATAGAAAATGTAGTATTTTATCGTTTATAGTCAGAGTATTCTTTTAAGTGTCTGTATTTTTGTGATCGAATATTCTATTAGATTTTGGTGCTGTGTGGGAGAGATTTAATAAAAAAAATTTAATTTGGTATTATTAAGTTTAAATTGGAATTTAAGTTTGAGGAAGATATTAGTTTTTATTGACTTTGGTTAATTAACAATAAAATATTTATATAATTTTTAAGCAATGTAAATGAATTCTGAGCAATTTACAGATGGTCCTGGTGAAAAAAAAGAAACAGTAAATATAATTTTTTTCAAAAAGAGTTTAGATTGAATTGAATAATTTTCATTGTTTGACTTCAAAAATTTAATAAACACTATTTATTATTGAAATTTAAGAATTATTTTGAAATTTTTACTTTTAAATTTATTAAATTTTTTTAAAATATGCGTATAGTTTTTACTACGCTGTTATGTATTGATAACATATTACTGCTGTTCATATTAATACAAGTCTTACGTTTTACTTTATTGAATTATA